CAGGCACCCGACGAGCACCGCGGTGTGGACGGCAACAGTTACAGGCTGCGCACATACGGCCCCCAAGAGGTATGCCCCGCTGGAATCAGGAGGCCTCTAGAGCAGTTCAGGGTGGTCCCAGCACCTCCGCACCATCCCTGGTGGAGCCCCCCTGGGCACACCGCGTCCAGGGCATGGTGTGTCGAGACTGCCCTGTGCTACCATGTGGGCCTATGAAGGCCAGCCTGTACTACCTACAATCATCGTGCTATCATGAGGAACGTCAAGTAAGGACCGAAGGTGTTCTTTAGCTACGACGTGCCGCAACCACGCATAGGATCCCCTATCTGGATGCAAGGAGCGGATAGGAGCGGTCCGGAAATCAAAGCGCCTCCTACCTAAAATGGTCCTTATATCAGCGTGTTGAGTGTAATCGGACTGCCCAAGCATTGCACCTCTCCCGTCGGACGGGCGAGCCCTGGGGAGCAATGCGTTGTGAACAAGTAGCGCTCTGTTCAGGAATCTGGGAGCCATACGAACTTGTATCTCCCTGGCACCCAGCAAATTGCTCCGAACACGGTGATAATTCCATAGCTGTGGGCTGGTATCACCAAGAAATTCAACCAACGAGTGTCAAACTGATGGCTTCACGGTGTGGCATCAAATCTCCGCCTTGCCTCTACCTCACCCATCTGTTGGTGCTCTTGTCCGTGCCTTTTGCACCTCAACTCCCCGTCCATAGTCACAGCCGAGAAGTCGATGCCGACCGCGTTTGCGATACCAGCAAGCTCTCTGCGCCTCTTCTTGCGAAACATTTTCATGAAGTTCAGAAGCTTGGACGACGTAGGCCTCGGCTGACCTCCCCTGGTCCTCAATTGCCTCTGGAAACATTAAACAGATACGTGATACTTCCAGCTTCAAGGTAACTGCCCCCCAATATCTAGCTTCGTCTTTGATCTGCATCATCTGAGCATGCGGCTGCGTTTGCTTGCTTTCTTCTCCCACCTGCGCCCCGTTCCCCCCTGAGTTCAAGACATGCCGGTTTCTTTCGTTTCCGTCTCGCCCCGAGCGGCCAACAACGTCGAAGAAATACCCGCCCCGATCGCACCCGCGTGTCGGACTCCCACAGAGAGTGTTTGAATCCGCCATCTGTGCCGTTCCCCCCCCCATCTCCACTCTGCGATTGCTTTTTGTGTAAAGTTTATTTCATTTTCTAAAATCCTGCGCCCTGTTATGTTCTATTTCTCGGAACGCCTGAAGACAACACGTTCATGGAAAACGCACACGCGCCAAGCTGCAAAACAACGCCAGCAGACTGTGGTCTGCGCATCGGCAGCGGGAAACCACGCACCCAGCCTCGAGGACGATACGCAGGCTCTCTTCCCTGGCGTGCGCTCTACATATTCAGAACGCATGCTGAAGCTACCGCTGGCGATATGAACCAAGCTGCTGAAACCCGCTTCTGCAACAACGGACAACGGTATTGCAAATGCAAGCCAGACCGAGACATGACCAGCTCAAACGTTCAAGCCCTCAGAGGGGAACCCGCCAACTTCCAGCGGCTGTGGTCCGTCCTTGCTGACCTTTAACACACTTCGAGGGAGCTATCACTGCGCACTGATGTGGACATTCGCAGCGGAGGAAGGGAACAGCGCTGGAGAAAGTTTGCAAATGCTGTGGTCGATCCAGAGGGTCACGAGATGCGTACACTGCGAACCGCTCCGCACTGACCTAGGATTTCTTGTGCGAGCGACTGCGACTGCGGCCCAGCCATTCCGATTAGAATGTCAGCCTGGCTGCACGACAGCGAACGATCCACCCGATTCGCCCACTGCTCAGGACAGGGAGAGACACTACACCAGTGGGCCAATGAGCGCGCCAGAAACGGCCAGGCGACTCCTGGGGACAGGAGCCCCGAGGAACCTTCGCCCCTGAAGCTCGGAGGCCCGAGCGGATCAAAACAGGCGCTGCGCCTGCTTCCAGCATGCCCTCGATGTAAACCGGCATAGCCGATGGCAGCCGCGCGCCACGTCCCGGAGCATGCCCAGTGCGTGTGAGGAACAAGGCATTGCTCATCATCGCTGCTGCACGCCATCAAGCCTGGCGCATGCAGAAGCAATCGGGGCTACACTGAGGCGGCACATGTGAAATAGCGATGAAATGCGGAAGACAGTATATGGGCGACGTTTTGTCTAGATATCGCGGCCAATGCCCCCGGTCTGGCATCGCCAAGGGCGCTCATCAGGTACTTTGTCCACCCACAAGCAGACGTACTGCTCTTTTCAGCTTCCTGCACCTGAGCAGGGAAAAACCTAACGATGCCTTTGGCGATGATCCCCATCTCTGCTGCGACAAGTCCGCTTTTTGCTTCCAGCGCTGCACGATAATCAACCCACACACACAATCCTTTGCCACCTGCCTTCCCAACCCTGTTGAAGCCTTGTACTTTGGCCATGTCCGCAACCGTGATCGCCAACTGGTCATACGCTCGGGCGAAATCCTCGAGGGTGTAATTGTCAACCTGAGGGAGTAAGCATCTCCAGCTTCGTAGAGAAGAAGCACAAGTCGCTGACCCCCTTCTTCTTCTCATCATTCGCCTCCTCTTGATCCTGCTCCTCGCTTGTCTTCAATGTTTTATGTTCTCGGCAGCGAAGGCTTCCAAGAACTTCCGTCGGGCCCCAAACGACCATACTGTGAGCCCAGGATGGCGGAAGACGTGCGTATCATCCTCCTCATCCCCCACATCCTTTCCCCCTCCATCTTCCCCTTTTTGATCCTCTCTCCTTCGCCTATTTCTCCCCATCCTGACTCTTCCACGTCCTTTTGCCACACCACTCTGCTCATTTTCTTCCCCCATTCATCTTTCCCTTCGTGTTGAACCTCCTTTCCTTCATGCGTCATTGCGTATCTTGGGCTCTCGTTGGGGCACATTCGGCCGTTCGTGCGCAATTCGGAGTCAATTGTGGGGCTTTCTTGGGCACTTTGGAAGCACACTTGGGGTCGCAAGAAACATACATATGTTGGGCCTTTTCGGCCTCACCGTGCGTCTCGTGACCTTTCTGGGGCCACCTTCTAAAGACCTCCTCAATGGGATCCAAGTAAATGAGATCGGAAGATCGCGCCGCATCGCCGATGCATCGCCGAGCATCGGCGGTGCCGGCGTGGAGAAGATCTTATCAGAGAATGGATGGATTCGGTTTGTATTCGGGATTCGGTTTTCCAACGGGGCCAGGCTGACAGCGACGACGACGACGACGACGACGAGGGCGACGAGGACGAGGGGGAGGACGAAGGAACCGACGACGAAGGGGTGGAGGGCCAGCACCCCCATCCGTCCTACCTGCCCAAAGCCAAGTTGCTCCACATCGAGCCACAATCGGACCGACTGTGTGCTGTCCCAGGCCCATCTCGGGCCTGAGGAGTGAATACATCTGCCGACCCCCGCTTGCCGTGGGTGACAAGGCGTGTGAGCATTTGAGTGTTCTCCTCCCACTCTCCCCGTTCCGCAAGGATTCAAGGCCCATCTCGTGCGAGTGTAACGAGCTCACCAGCGCACCTGATGCACTCTCTGCGGCCTCGAAAGGGGCCCAAAATGCCATCTCGGATGGCCGAGGGAGGGCCCCCCAACACGCTGGAGAAGCCCTTCAGGACACCCAAAAGCTTGAGATTTCCTGGGGGTCTTTCCGCAGTTTCACGCTATCGCCTCATCGAGCTTCTGGAAATCTGCGACGGCCCGGGAATGCTCCCAGGCCAGTCCAAGACGGCCCGAGAGCCTCCAAAGGCGGCCCAGAAACGGCTCACGAGGTACCAGAGACGTCCCCGCAGGCCCCCGAGGTGATCAGCAACGACCTTAAACGGGCCCCACGAGAGGCTGAAGAGGAGGGAAAGGGAGGGACCCCAGAAACCCTCCCCCACCTGGTGGCCCCGAGAACTTCCAACATGCCCCCAAGAGGCTGCCAAGAGGACCCAAGAAGTCCCAGGAGGGAACCAAACAGCCCCCCAAAAGCTTTGAACAACTCAACTCCGGGACGCCGCCCCCGAGACCTCCAGGATGCTTACAAGAAGCCTCGCAATAGACGCTCAAGAAGAGGAACACAAACAAAAACAACAACCACGCGCAAACAACACAACGGAAAACGGCAAACCACACATACGGAATCGGAAGCCTTACATTTCTTCTTCTTGGGTCGGCGGAACGGCGTAAGCCTCTTGAACCCAAGCCGCTGGACATCGCCCCCCCCCCCCCCCCCCCCACACGCCAACCCAACGCCAAAGGGCATGCAAAACGCACTGGTGGAACGTCGCGGTGGTGTGGAGCCAAAAATCGAGGTTGCGCATCGGTCGTCTGGGTCGTCAGGGCTAGGCCGTCCGGGGTCTGGGCCATCTGGCGACTGGGTCGTTTGGGGCTGAGCCGTCTGGGATTCGGGCCGGAAATATTTTTCTGAACAACCCAGCTGCTCCCCTCTCACGCCCCTCCCCTTTCTCCCTCGGGTCATCCCCCTCCCCTTCCTTTTCTGGTGCGCGCGCCGAGGGGGGGATGTCACGCAAGCGTGTCCCGATATTTGCCGACGTGATCTTTGCAATCCGCAGCCCCAGGAGTCTCGACCGCTTCCCCCGAGTAGTTTTTCGCCCCGAATTCGTTTTTGTTCGTCCTGGGGCCTGAAAACAGACAAAATGATGGAAACAACTCAGGAGGAAGAGGAGGGATGCGGATGAGGAGGAGGAGGAGGGAGAGGAGGAGGAGGAGGAGGAGGAGGATAAGGGGGACGAGGAGGAGGAGGAGGAGGAGGAGGAAGGAGGAGGAGAGAGGAGGAGGAGAAGGAGGAGGAGGAGGAGGAGGAGGAGGAGGGAGGAGGGAGGAGAGGAGGAGGAGGAGGAGGGAGGAGGAGGAGGAGGAGGAGGGAGGAGGGGGAGGAGGAGGAGGAGCGGGGGAGGAGGAGGGAGGAGGAGGAGGAGGAAGCGTACCACGACGACGACGACGACGTCCCCTACCCGCGGAGCTCCTCGGCGATAGGCGCCGTGAGGTGCAGCTCGCGGACAGCGGCCGCTGCCACATCGAGATTCACTTGGGGCTGAAGGAGAGACGCAAGAGGGAGGTGACGGAGAGAGTGATAGATATGACAGGCAATGAATACTTCCTCGAGAACAGGAGCGGTGCAAATCGGGATCCCCCATCTGGCCGGCGGATCAGAGGACAACTGCCTATAACGCAGAACGGTTGAAATAGACCAGGCAAGGCGAGGGCAGCTGGCGTAGTGCACTTGACGATCGGGCTCCCCCTCACAGCCGAAAATGCATCCCCTACGACCACCTTCATTCAGTATACGATGAGAAGTGAGCCACGCTCCGCTCATGGTTCTAATCCACGACCAGGCCCAAGAAGGCGGGACAGTTCTGAGAACACTCTGGATGCTGGGCCAGTCAATGGCCTGGATCACCGCGGCCTGCTCAGGCCACCACTTCAGGAGACGGGACTCGAACAATTCTCCGAGGCCGTGCTGCGGCCAGCGTTGGATACAGGCGAGTTTGGCAGCACGCTGCGGCTTCACACCATTTGCAGAGCAGGCGGCGGCGGCAGCAACGTGCATTGGACCTCCGACTCCATGCTCAGCGTCATGCAGAAACTCAACGAAGGCACGGCACTTCCAGTGCCGCGGGTAGCGCTTTCCTGCAGGCAACACTGACAGGCGGCACTCGTCCAATTCCTGAGACATGGGCGTGTCTGTCATGCGCACCAGCCAGCGATGTATCCGATCATATCCAGGAAGGGTCGACTTGGCCGAACGAGCGAGCGAAGCGATACTGAGCACCTCCAGCGGGCACACTCTAAGTGCATTCCACTCATGCAGAAACGCCCAGTCCCGCGCTCGGAAAGCACCAAGCGGAAGGCGGAACGCCTGCGCCAAAGCACCTTTCTCAGCGTCCTTCAGCTCTGTCGGCAACGGCAAAAACTGCATGACGTAACTGAGGACAGATACTGCACGCGTCGTGTACAGCACGGCCGACGAAGATGCAGGCGTATTACCAGCACCAATTGCCGCAGCACGGTCACGGTACTTCTGACGGGGAACAGTCCAGGAGTCGATCAGCTCGGCCGCGGGACCAATCCACATACCCAGGTAAAACAGTTTAGCCTCAATTCGGAACTCGGACCATTCAGGAATGAACATGTTCAGAAACTTTTGGACTTGTGCTTTGAGAGCAGGGGTAGACGGGCCTGAGACTGGAGTCAAGACACACTTGGCTGGCTTGAGGCACAGGTGCGCGATCAGTTCGACGACTTTCATCACGCGTCTGAGCTGCAGCAGCAAACGAAGAATGTCCGACAAGGCTCCACCCAAGGCGTCTGCGCATGCTCGATTGATTCCCTTCCGCGGGATCTCGAAGCTGCGGTTGAGGTCAATCAGCGCCGGCGCGAGGGCAATCGCGAACAGCGAGCCTGAAAGAGCACATCATTGGATAATCCCAGAGCGAATCCAAAACGCATGAACCAGGATCCCCTGGACCGACATCACACCTTCGATACTATCATATAGATTCTCGACAAACATCAAAAACCCGATAGGACACCCCATTTTCCTCAGAACAAGGATCACGAACTCCTGAGACAGGCTCGGGAAAGCGTGGCCGTAGTCCAAGGCGTACAGCATTGGACAGCGGTCGTCAGCTTCAGGGCGGGCAGAGTGCACTCGAGCGAGGGCGTCCACCTCTAAGATGTTCCGGCAAAAGTTCCTGCCTTTCATGAACCCGCGCTGGTCCCGAGGAACGAAGCGATCGAGTGGTTTTCGGATCGCCATGTTCATGGTCGCAGTAAGTAGTTTGATGCTGGTATTTCGAAGCCCGAGAACGCGAACCGACGAAGCTTCCCTGTCGCAGTCGCCCTCTCTCGTGTCCGCGCTGGACTCTCCCTTCGGCAGAAAGGCTTGCAAGGTGGCGCTCTCGGCGGCAGGGATGCTGTATCCAGACATCATCCGCCAGAGCAGGTCATGCAGCAGTATCAGACCACTCGGGTGGGCCAGCCAGGCCGCGTAACATAATCTGTCAACTCCTGGCGCTGAGTCGCTAACAGAGCGTGCAACTCTCTTCAGCATCGCAAGAGACGGCGGCGGGCAATCGGCAAAGTCCACGGGGCAAACGATGCGATCGCAGTATGTGTTGGCCGTCTTTGATGGCCACGCTTTCCTGGAAAAGATCGGCCCCCAATGCGCCGTAAGAGCAGCGCTACGATGGAGACCCTCCTCAACCCTCCCTCCTTCGACGAGCACGGCGCGAAGCGTGAGTCGACGAGCGAGCGGCGCCCAGATCCTCGCCCTCCTCTCAATAGCCTGTAACTGTTGACGTTCTCTCTGACGAACTCCCTCCCCCTCAGCACGCTCGAGACGGGCGCGGGCAGCGAGGCGGTCGAGGTTGGCAGCCTCCAGTTGCACTCTGTTAGTCCAGCTCTGGAAAGCAGCAGGGTGAATAAGTGAGACACGACCGCCCTCAATTCGGACAAAATCAGCTGCGGCGGCATGAGATGCG